TTCTTGTGAGTAAATGTAAATCGACATTCGACACTTGATTTCTCTTTACTTAAATGTCAATTGGTAATAAAGGGAGAAGCTGTCATGGACCAGGGGAATCATATACCTCAACATTAGTCCCGCTTAGGCTATCACGAAGGAATTGCTTAATGCCTTCACCGTGGTTGGCATGAATGAGACCTAAAGCATATAGAGCCCCACCTTCAGAATATGGACTCCCACCACCAGCTCCACCTTGGGGCAGGTATGGAGCCATCAGAGACCTCCCCTGCTGCAGATGTCCTCTGTGAATAACACCAAGCCCAGCTGTTGCACTGAATTTGGCCCAATTAGTAGCTCTACTCAGCCAATCCTGATGATCAGATTTTTAAAGTTAAGTATGCCCAATATGTACATTAGTCTAAAAGAGTGAAAGTAAAGATACAGCAAGACAAAAGCTTTACTAGATTGTCCCTCAGGAACGTATCTACAGTTGTTCCAGCATGCATTATTGCATTAGCATATATTGTGGCACTGTGACAAACACTATTCCTCATTTCAAGAGACTGTTTTATTGTCTTCAAAATCAATAGATCAGATCTAAAACAAGAAAAATGAGAACCAGTTAATAGCTTGTAATGTAAATATATATATATATATATATATAAAAGGAAACATGACAATTTAGTTCCACTGGAAGATTGGATCAATGCCTCACTTGTTGCAACTGAACAAGAATTGTAGTGTCAATTGTATGGATGCCTCTCCAGACAAAATTCCTTTGATTTTTGTCAGTCTCTCGGCATACATAACTTCTTTAGGATCTGCCTCATGAATAGCAGAAGATCCATTTGTCATCTGAACATCCTCTGGAGCAGTAGAATTTTCATTTTGAGCATGAGCAGGACTGCTGGAGCCTGGCTGCACTGATTCTGAAGGCAGAGATTTGGGAGCTGAAAGGCAATCTCGTACATTTAAGAGAAAAGCCTGGTGCTCATTCTCCACAAGGTCAAATGCAATTTGGAAAGCATAAAGAGCATCCTCCTTATTTTCAGAGCGGAGAAGTTTCTCCAATATATTTGCAACACCTTCAGGTTCATACAAGAACATGAGACACTGACAAATGCTCAAGTAATCAGGAGAAGGAAGCTTTCCGTAAACTTTAACAAGAAGCCGAAGCACCTGCATGAACAAAAGATCAAGAGCATCAAGGATCTTGCAGGATTTGCGAGGTTGCACCAAATTCCGAGAAAAGAGCAACGGATAAAGCAATATTAATTGTTCTAATAAAGAAACTACTGGTTATGCAATTTATATGAACTATAGATGTTTTATGAACTACTAATAGAAACTCCGTACATCTTGTCGATATTCTCGACGATATACAAACGAATGAGAAGCATTGATACAATATGCTAAAGTCCCATGAACATTATCACTCCTTGTTATTGCTTCCTCAAGTTTATCCAGTCTCCGGCACTCAATTGCAATTCCCATGGCTTGTTGGTATTTTTCATCCATGATACACCTAAATGCAAAATATATATATATATATATATACACACACATACAGTAAGATAGCAAGGCAAACCCCAAAATATGTCATCAGATAAGAAAATTCAACATACTTATCCAGCATTCTCTCTACAATGGCTTCCAACATAGAGTCAACCTTCGCTGCTTCATCACTTGATTCTGCTGCCTTTGACCGAAGGCTGACATACTCATCTATTGCCTTGGCTAAAATTAAGAACATAACATATCAGCTGTTTGGAATATCCAATAAAAATAACTGAAATAAATATGATGAACAGTAAAGAAAAGTTTAGGCAAGATAAATCAATTTCAGCAAAATATAACCATAACCAACGTACTAACAAACTTTGATTAATCAATTTCTTAATGATCACAAAATATAGAAAATGAATCTAAGTTCTTACAAAGGAGAGTATGAACATAATCAGAATCCTCAGAAACATCAAATAGGGGACCAGCTCCAAGAGCATAAGACAGTGAATCATTGAGTTCACCCAAGTAATAGAAGACCTGAAATGAAATAGTAACATACATTAAGTAAGTGAAAGTCAAAATGCCAAAGTTAAAGATAAAAGCAATAAGAGATAAGGAATCTACTTCTATTACATCTCTCATTTATAAATTGTAAAAGCAGTCCTAACAATGTTCCACAAATCAAACAGCAGCACTGTTTTGACATGATGGAATTTAATAACAATTATAAATATTACATACATATTTTTTACCTACCTACCTACATATATAGATATATATGATCTCTAATAGATTATGTTAAACCAGACTCTTTTTTGTTAGTCTTCCAGAAGTTGACTACTTTGTTGGGTTACTAACATTTGCAGATTTTTCACCTTTACTAAAGGAAGGAATTGGTTCAATTTCCAGAAATTATGGTAGTTACAAGCATTTGGTTATGAACATGGATATGCACATTAATGCAGACTGCGAAGGACAAGAGAGGAGGACCTTCGAGACAAGTAATGCAGCAAGTTGTCTCTGTTGTTGACCAAATTCCTCATCTTCATACAAGCTTTCTCTGAAAAACACAAGCATAAGATCAGTATCCGCATCCAAAACTCATTTAAGTAAATTGTTTTGAATTGGAATCACTCCCATATACAGGCCACGTAACCTAAACAAACTATCTATGAATGTAATAGATCTTAACAGAATAAATTTAAATAAGCCGAAAGCAGATAAGTGAAGCCAAACCTAATATCCCCATCCCTATCTCACCCCAATGCAAATTAGGTATATGCAGTTTCCCAAATATAGTGAACATAGAACTTAATCTAATGGAAATTAAAAAAAAAAATTATTGTCCCCATTGTTTTGATTCACTCAGAAGCTCAATTTCCTAATTGAACAAACTATAAACTACATTACGAAATGATTGCTTTTAGTTCTTCCCAATCTGAAACTCACTTATGCAAAACATATAGCTTAACTAAAATATTCATTATCACATGCCCAGTATTTCCACAATCTAACCGTTGAATCCAAATTCTCACCCTCCGCCAGCTAAATAAAAATTCGAAAACCGAAGGTTGAAACAGGCCAAATCTCCATTAACAAGTAAAACAACCGAAGCTTTGCACACTTAGAGAATTTCAAACCAGAATTTTTTCCATTTCGTTTCATTCAATTTTAGCACCTAACAATCGGATCAAAACAGCCAAAACCTAAACCCTAGCTAAACAAAAGAAAGTAGCACAGAGAAAAAAAAAGCTTACATGATAGGAACGCTGGTGGAGATCTCAGGCCAAAATTGGTCAACGAAGCTAATTAAATTAGAAAGAGCATGATATTTTAACTGAGGATGGCTCTCGTTAAGCATCGCCAGTAACCCTCCAGCCGAACTGACCATGGTCGCCGCAGCAGCTGGCATTTTAATTCTTCCCCAAAATCAAAAACCCTAACTTCCTTCAATTTTTCGGAATTAACTCGTAAATAAACGAAGAAAAATGAAGGGTTAAATTAGAGAGATTAGTTCAAGTATTTCGACGGCAAGAGAGAAACGGTGACGTTTCGAAGACGAACGCCGACGAGGATGCGAAAGAAGGCGATACGATGAGAAAATTTGCTTAGATTTAGGTTGAAAAAAAAAGGGGGAATTTCTTTGAATCTGAATCTGATCGAAGAGGGAAATATGAATTCACTTGTCTTGAAGGAAAAGAAATCAATTTTTGTAACTTTTAAATTTTAGCCTCGAAACTTTTACTTTTTACACGATTGAATCCTTTGTGAATTTTCACTGTTCAAACTTATCCTCCTCCTCAGTCCTCATTTTAGTTTTGTCACTCTGAATCTTGTATAGCATTTTGGGTAAATTATGCGTTTAGTACCTAAGTTATCAGTTTTGGTCTGTTTTAGTATTTAAACTTTTATTTTTTTTCAAAATCATACCTAAAATTTATTTTTTGTTTCATTTAGTATCTCTATTCAAAATTTAATGTTAATTTTTGGGGGAAAAAATGAAATTTTAAGTACTAAAACGGATCAAAATTGATAGTTTAGATACTAAACACATTAAGCTTTTAAAAGTGGAGTACTAAAATAAAACAAAAACTAAATATTAGGTATGATTTTGAAAAAAGTTAAAAGTTTACGTACTAAATGTGTAGTTTACCCTATATTTTTTTAATTTTATTTTGATTTCATTTCTATTTAATTTATTTTTCTTATACAATATTACTTTTTAGGTTAAATTATGCGCTTTGTATCTAAACTATCAGTTTTAATCCATTTTAATACCAAAACTTTTAATATTTTTTAAAATCATACCTAAAACTAAAGTTTTTGTTTCATTTTAGCATCTATTTAAAATTTAACGTTAAGTTCTAAAAAAGTAAAAGTTTAGGTACTAAAATAAACAAAAATTGATAGTTTAATAGCGAGGTACTAAAATGAAACAAAAAAAACCTTAGGTATGATTTTGAAAAAATTAAAAGTTTGAGTACCAAAACAAACCAAAACTGATAGTTTAGGTATTAAATGCATAATTTTCCCTAATTTATATTCCCTTGATTTTTAGGATATATTGACTCATGATAGAAAATCAGATTGGGAGGAGCATTTCGATAATTTTTATAACATCCAAGTTTAATTTATTTTTCTTGCACAATATGTTATATTATATTAATTTCTCCTCTTAAAGTCTTCTTTTTGAGATTAAAATAACCCATACATTTGATTAATGCTTTCAATCTCCGAATCAACTTTTTTCTATTCTGCCTTTTTGATGATGTGGTCCTTTGAAATGACCAATTTTTACACAATAAGAAGTGCAGGGATGTAATTGAAGAAAAAATTACCAATTTAAGGGGAAAAAAGATACTTCAATCCCTGCAATAAAACATACCCCTTTGTACTCCATTTCTTCAATCTTCTTTAACCCTGTACAAATTGACAATTCTCTCAAAGAAGTTCCTTTCAGTACACATTACCAACATGAAAAGTTTACCCCATCAATCAATAGCTTAATGCCACCATCTTATACGCGACGGAAGCGGCCGGTCATGACTCGATGAAACAATACCATTTCCGAACATAGTGACGGGCTGCATCATCGTTACCTTTGAGTTCATGTTTAGTCCGACGACTGTCTTGGAAAGATTCCATCATTACAACTATGAACAAACGACGGGTAAAATACAAAGAAATTATGTACCAGATCAACTGATCCTAAAGTTACTAAACTCTAGCCTACACCTTCATTCCCTTCCCTTCTCAGAAAATCTGTTAGACAAAGGACTTCGGTTCGTATCTCTTTTTTCCAGTGTGTGTGTGTGTAGGTTGTTACAATTGTTATGTTACAGATCGTTGGTCGACACATTTTTTTTTTGATAGAAAGTCGACACATTTTTTAACAGTCCTTTCTTTACGAGTAAAAATAAGGGTGATGGAAAAGGAAACTAACACCGTCACCGTCACAGATGAGATATAGGCGGGAAATACGAGTCCCGACGGGAAACTAATGGTGTGTCTAGGGATCCACTTTCTCCCATCGATAACGTCCGGCAAGAGGCTTATCTTTCACAGGATCAAAGTTGTACCTGCAAATAAGCCCACGTCTTTTATCATATCACATCCACAATGTAGTGTCATACTAAAAGAGAGTTGTGCAGAAGTTTCAAACCAAGCATAAAACTGGGAAACAGGGTGAAATAAATAGCGTACTTCTCAATGAATTGTCTTCGCTGGTCTACCTTGGCGGGAGTAAAGAACTCGTCCATTTCATGTGATGTCGGGACGTGTCCCCGCGTTGAGTTTCGTAATCTCTGGTTAGTACCTGCCGAGTTGGTAGGCCTAGTGGTGGAACCCGGGGTGCGTATACTCTCCGGGTCCCTTCTCAAGCTGCAAGGAGTTGATTCCCTAGTGCCCCTGCACCAAAAACAAGAAGAGGCTTTGTATAAACGAAAGATTTTTCCATGTTTTCATTTTGATTCAAATCCTCTTTCTCCTGGCACCAAAGAGGCTTTGTATTTCCATCGACAAAAATACAAGCTCATGCAAGATACACATTAAAACCATGGTCAAACAACACGGATAAATCGAGCAAAGAATTTCTGCGACGGTCAGAATATTCTATGCTCAAAGCACGGAAATACAAAGTAAATTAGAAGGTTGGTAATGCCAAAATGTTTTCTCCAAAAGAAGCTTCATCACTAATATCATCATTTCCATTATCTTCTTGCACCAAGTTTTCCACGACCGAGTTTGACCCGCACCTCGCCCGAGCCCTAGAATCCGGATTAGGGTTAAGATTTTGTCCACGGCTATCCTTCTTACCCCACAGTTTCTGTTGCTGCTGGCGTTTCTTCGAATCATGGTGTTGCAAAACAAATGGCGGCTTCTCTAATCGTCGATTTCACAGCTGGAGATACGAGCCGGCTCCATTGGCCGGAGAAGCGGAGGATTTGTCGTGGCGTCGAAGGGCAAGTGTTTTGGATCTGGTCCAGATCCCGAGAGAAGACCCTATTACGGAAATTTCCGCTGCCGTTTTGGGCTTCTTAATGTATTTTCCCATTCGAAACAAACAAGGGTTGAAGCTTAAGCTCGAATATGGACGAGAGAAAGACGAAGACGAACGTATAAAACCAAAAATCGAAACTTGGAAAAGGACGGTGAGATTTTCAGGTGGCTAAGATTTTGCACTTTTCAATTTCATTTAAAGGAAGGCCATGGCCATGGAAGTGCAGTCGACAGTGGACGTGATAATGGGAGTTTGAGAAGAAGAAGAAGACATAGCCATGGTCATGAAATTGAACTTAGAGTAACAGAATTTGCATCATTGTATGTCCTTACAGCAGGCATAGCCGCCCTTCGAGTAAACGGAAAGAGACGAATCCCTGCACCTCCTCCCAGTATGATCGAAGCCACGTTCTTGGGGTGAGTTTTCGTCTATCGTATCGACATTGTTGGTCGGTCTAAAACCCGACATGGCCTTGATCAAACAAACACAATGTATGCACAAACAAGATAAACAAATTGATCATGGAAAAGGAATTAACAAACCTTGGCTTCTCTGCGATTATTCAATGTGAGACTCGCAGAAGAATCAGTTTTGATCTTCATTTCTTTCTTATTATCAAAATGATTGAAACATAAACTGTTATCAACGAGAATCCCTCTGATTCTCTCCCCCATAAATGCATTATATGATCTCCATTGTTAAAGCCGCTTTTTCTTACATTCTAGAAACAATGATTGGCTTTCATAGTTAACTTTCTGCTCAGACTGCAATCAAATTTTTTTACGAAAAAAAACGAGTTTAAAACATATTGAATTATCGAATGATCACTTTACAACTTTTAATGGTCGAGTGGCTCAACAAAGCAACACTCTATATTTGAAGGATCATTTTATAGCTTTTAATAGTCAGGGTATTCAACAAAGTAGTTTCCTATAGTCGGGGGACCATTTGTGTACTTTACCCTAAATTTTTCTATTGAGCACATAGAGTCAAACATAATTATTGAATAAAAAATATGGTAAATTATGTGTTTAGTACATAAACTATTAGTTTTGGTCCGTTTTAGTACATAAACTTTCAATATTTTTAAAATTATACCTAACATTTAATTTTTCTTTCATTTTAGTACATCCGTTGTAATAAACTTAACGAACGGGCTCACCGCCCATTGCGTCAACAGTTCGGCCGTCATATTTGTCAGTTTATCAAGTTCAAACTTTTCAAATCACACCTTTTTCACCCATGAACGTGATTTTGGCCTCCGTTTCACTCGAAAATGCCTCGATCTTCCCAAATCAACGATGGGCTCTTCGACTTCTTCATCATCTGATCTTCGTGGCCAACCGTCTGATTGGCCTGGAACTGGATTATGTTGGTTGACTCGTCATTCTCTCGTGGTCCACCGTTCGAATTGGTCGTCCATCCACCGGAGCTATACCCCTTCAACCTGTTCGTTAAGTTTTTAACGACGGATACTAAAATAAAATAATAAAAACTAAACGTTATGCATGGTTTTGAAAAAATAAAAGTTTAGATACTAAAACGGATCAAAACCGATAGTTTAGGATGATGTTTTGTTGAGTCTCTCGATTATTAAAAGTTACAAAATGGTCCCCCGACTATTTATCATGTTCAAAACTTATCATTTTCGATTAAAAAATTATAGTCGTCTGAGTTGGAAGTTAACATGTTGAGTGAGATATGATAGTTGTTTGAGATTCTAAGGTCAGATTTTATCATATCTAAGTTATCAAGTTAACTTTCAGCTTAGTTTGCCGTCATATTTTTTAACGAAAATAGACGAGTTTAGAACATATTGAATTATCGAATGATCTTTTATGACTTTTAATGGTCGAGTAACTCAACAAAGCACCACTCTATAGTTGAAGGACCATTTTATAACTTTTAATAGTTAGTGAATTCAAAAAAGCAGTTTCCTATAGTCGAGGGACCATTTGTGTACTTTACCCTAAATTCATATATTGATCCATAGAGTCGATCATAATTATTGAATAAAAAATATGGTAAATTTCGTGTTTAGTACATAAACTATTAGTTTTGATCCATTTAGTACCTAAACTTTCAATATTTTTAAAATAATACCTAACGTTTAGTTTTTGTTTCATTTTAGTACTCATCATAAAAAAAATTAATGGACGAGCTCGCTACCTGTCACGCTATAGTCCTCGGTTAACTCATCTGTCAGTCGATGAAGCTCAAACTTTTAAGCTCACACATTTTTGACCCATGAACGTGATTTCGTCCTTCGTTTCACCGAAAAATGCCTCAATCTTCCCAAATCGACGATGTACTCTTCGACTTATTCATCTTCTGATCTTTGTCGCTAATTGTCTAATGGGTCTGAAATTGTACTAAGTTGGTTGACTCGTCATTCTCTTGTGATCTACCGTTCGGATTGGTCGTCCATCCACCGGAGCTATGTCCCTTCAGCCCGTCCATTAAGTTTTTAATGGCAGGTACTAAAATAAAATAAAATAAAATATTATGTATGGTTTTAATTTTTTTTTGAAAGTTTAGGTAGTAAAACGTACTAAAAATGATAGTTTAAGTATTAAATGCGTAATTTACACTAAAAATGTCAATTAAATTATTACTTTTTGTTTTGATGAAATTATTTTTTTAGTTAAATCAATAACAATAATATTTACATGATAGTTTCAAATTTTATATAATAACATATTTAGTTGTTTATATTTTAAAGGTTTAATATAAAAAATTCAAATTATACTTTTTTCCTCAATTTTTTTTCCAGACAATATAGATGCATAATTTTTTTTGAATTATTTAATATGTGTTGTGTTTATATTTTGATTGTAGAAGATATTTTTTTTATTTTTAGAAAATAGTTTTCATTTCTAATTTCTTGAAAATTAAAAAACATGTTTGGTTAATATAAATAAAAAGTTGAATTCATAAATAAAAATAGTGAAAATATATTTTGTATCTAATTTTTAAAAACGGAGATAAACAAATAGGTATTAAATAATTAAATTAAAATATAATTATTAAAAATTTTCATTACATAAATTGAACATGTGAGTTATATAAATATAAAATGATAAAATTGATAATAAATTTCATAAATAAAAAATTATTTTAGTTTTATAATAAGAATATAACGTTAATGCATATTGAACATCAGTTAAATTAAAAAATACACAAAAAAATATTATTGCCAGCAAGACACACAAAAGTGTCATTAAGATAACCAAGAACCAGTTGTTCCAGTGGGATAGACACTAAATTCCTTAAGCAATGTCAGACGTTTGAACCTTGGTTATTACGAATGGAGCAAATTGGGTTGGGAGGGTCGCCATCGCCTCTGCAATACCCGATCTGGATTAGTCGATCAATAGATTAAAAAAGTGTCATTAAAATAAAGAAAATGTTTAGTGATATTTAAGGCCCTAAAACTTAAAAAAAAACTAACATAGTTCGTGATATTTTTTGGCACTAACGCGACCCTTAATATGAGAAAAAAATTAATTTAACCTTTTGATCAACATAATCAAACATTCATCGTCACGACGCTTACATAATAGTTCACAAAGCTTTTATAGTAATCTATCATATTGATTTGACAATTTACGATGTTGTTGCGATAGTACACAATAAAAAATGATGTGATAGATTGACTTAATTGATTTTTTTGACTAAATACAAGGGTCTAATTGATTTTTAAAAAGTTAGAGGGCTTATTTGATTTTAAAAAAACTAATAAATTATTAAAATTTTAAATATAAACATAAACAATCATTAAAATATTCAATATATTAAATATAAAAATACTAAAAAATTAAATTATTAAAAAAATTAATGTAAAGACCATATTGATTATAAAAAAAAATAGGGACCGCATTCATTTTTTTTTTTGTAAAACTTTGAGGGTTTTTAATATCATTAAGTTAAAAAATTATTATTAGAAGGATTTGAACTTATGCAAGTTAAATTAAAAATTTAGATATTGTGTTTCTTATTTTTCAGATTTCTAAAACAATTTTAATGAAAATGATGAAAACATATTTTTTATGTTTTTTTATATTTTCATTTATTTTTGTTTTTATTTTCCAAAAAAATCATTTTTTACAATCAAACACATTTTTTTCAATGTTTTCTATTTTCTAAGAAAATAAAAATGAAAATAACATATATTTTTTAGAACCAAATGTTCCCTTAATTTCTCTAAAATTAAAAAAAACCCATAAAATCTCTAATCCTAATTATATTCTCCCTTATCATCTACTTTGTCGGTCATTGTCACTCTTATCGACCGCCATCGATATAACCCTTATCATCTTCTTTGTTATCAGTCACTAAAGTGATGGTAGATTTGGGATTTGGATGTATTCAAAATTTAATTTTCCTCTCGCTATGAATATAAGTTCAGTCGATGATAATGACAACAATGTTGTGGTTTAGGTTAAGTCTATGTTAACATTACTTTTGAAAAATGACTTTTAAATGTATTGTAGAAAAGAACTTTTAAAAGTGATATTCGAAAGTACAATTTTAACTGTTTAAGATTATTGTTATAAAATAATTTTGAAAAGATAAAATGTATATTATAGACATTCTGTTGTAAATTAAAAATATAACATTTAAATTATATTTACACTTATTAATATTATGATATAAAAAAATATTTCAAGATAACTCATTAATAATATTTTTATGTATGAAATATTTTATTAAGAAAAAAATATATTATCAATAATTTTTAACATTCAAATCTTAAAATAATATTTTAATTATTTCGATTTAACCACAATCACTCATTTAAAATTTAAAATAAAATAATTTAAATCATATATTTATCCTTTTAACCATTCAAAATTGAATTTTAAAAGATTTTAAAGATTTTCAAAATTTTGAATTTTTTATAGATTGGATAAAAATGATATGTGTCATATAATGATTTGTTTGACGATTATGACAGACCAAATACTTAAAATAATAATATTGATAACATAAATCACTTGTATTATTTGATCGAAAAGAAAATCACTTAGCCAACGTATATTGGCACAAATAGCTGGAATTCAGGAATTTGATCTTACAAGGCCAAGTTCAAATCCCACCACTGTCACTCTTGGTGGACAACATGTAAATTCCTATGTAAATCCTAATTGGGTCTTAGTTATGCCCTAACTCTGGACTGGGAAGTCACCCTTGACCTAAATTTGATGTAAAAAAAAAATCACCTATATTTTTCATTTTGTAATTAAAAGCTACAGACTCATTCACACTTACAAATAAGTCTATTAAACTAGATGACTCAACAACATCCATGCAAACCTTTCCTCATCTCACATACCTTCCAAACATATAAGTATGGTATCATAATTTTGAATGTATATACGGAAGAGGTAACATCCATTGATACAAAATTTTTAAGTTTTATACGGTTTTTTAGATTTCAAAATATCCCAGACCATCCGAATCAAAACCAAACCCTTTGTCAATTACTATCCGAATCCAAAACGAAAGACGAATGTAAGATTTTATGTCAGGGGCAAACTTGAACTTATAAAATTTCAAGGGGATGAAAACAAATTTTCAATAGAGAATACATAGAAAAATCTAAAATATATGATGAATTTAAATTTTCAGGAGGGCGTCCAAAACCAATATTGGAGTGTAAAAACCATCTGAAACGGAAAATGCTAATGTTTACGAAGAGCATAGCAAACGATACAAGTAATACGTACCCCTTGCAATCATGTAATCCTTGTCTCTCCAGTTTTTAGCTTCTTTAACCCTGTATAAATTGACAGCACTCGCAAAGAAACAAGTGCAGAGTATATATCAAATTATCCAAAGTTCGTATTTATACATATTACCAACAAGAAAAAGCTTACCAGCTACCCCAAGAGTACCCGAAATGTCACTGTCCATCTTATTCATGAGAAGTTTAATGGAAGCAGTCTGTTACGACAATGAAACAATATTGTTTCCGACCATAGTGACAGGCTCCGTCGTCATTATCATAAAGAACGCAAAAATTTAGCTGTGAAAATTGTAATCAAAAGACAAGATAGGAGGAAAGGGATCATGATTCATCCAAAGAGTCTAAATATAGACAAACAAGGGGAGGAAAAAAAATCTGTACTAGATCAACTGGCCTAATTGACTGACCCTAAAGTTCCTAAACTCTAGCCTACACCTTCATTCCCTTCCCTTCTCAGATGATCTGTTAGACAAAGGACTTTGATTCCCCCTTTTTTCGTTTTTGTAACTCGTTACTGTTATGTTACAGACCATTAGTCGACACATTCTTTTAATAGTTAAGGGTGATAGAAAATGGAAATAAAACTATCACCTTTACAGCCAAGACTAAATTCCTAGTAGCTAAAAGTACCTAAATTTACTATCAACTGAGCATTTAGCAGGAAATATAAGTGCTGATGGAACACTAATGGTGTCTACGGGTCCAATTTCTCCCATTGATAACGTCCTGGAAGTGGCTTGTCTTTCACCGGATCAAAGTTGTACCTGCAAATAATCCCACATATTTTATCAGATCATAAACCACAGATGTACTTTGCAATTTCAGCAAAAGTTTAGAGAGTTGTAAAAGTAAGAAACGTGATGAAAAAGGTATAGTATATATACTTCTCAATGAATTGTCTTTGCTGGTCTACTTCTGCACTAGCAAAGAACACATCAATTTCATTTGATGTCGGGATGTGTCGCCTCGTTGAATTCTGTATTCTTTGGGTGGTCTCTGCTGAGCAGGTCGGCCTAGTAGATGACCCTGGGGTTCTTATACTCTCTGGGTTCCTTATCAAGTTGCACGGAGTTGACTCCCTAGTGCTCCTGCAGAAAAACAATAGCTGTTGGTTAATGAAAAGTGAGAAAATCTAGACGTCAACACTCAATTCCAGGGTCAAATAGAAGGAAAACTTTTATCAACATTCAAGCAAAAAGACTCTGTGATCCAGGGGGAAATAAATGAAAGATTTTCCTCTGTTCATTAAAATCACAAAAGAGCTGCTCTACAATTTCCTTCAAGGATAAATTAGACTGACAAAGCCTTTTTTTTCCCCTGTAGGGGTTTGCTTAATCAAGCAAATAGTTAAAAGGAAAACAAGCAAGGAGAACTCGAAAAGTATTGAGCAAAGAAGAGTAACAAAAAACAGATTTTCTGATTATCAGAATGTCCAAAAGATCAGATTTAACATCAACTATCTCCTATGCTATGGAAATATAAAGTAGACTAGAACCATGTCTTCCAAAGAGATAAGCTCAATTAGCACATTAACCCCCACGAATAAAGAAAAGGAAAGCAACAAAAAAAACATTTTGTTTCTTTCCATTAGAATAACCAACAGCATAGAGGCCTAAAAATACCCAAACGAAAGAACCTAACAGATCCAATATGTATCACCACAGAATTTGACAAACCCAAGTTTTAAAAGCATAGTAAGTTTAAATAAAAAAAATATTAAAGAAAAAGGGTCAGAAATCAATTATATTAAAAAAAATTATGAGTGAAACGGAAAGGCTGGTCATCTATGTTCTTCGAACTCTCCATTTTCTTGAAATACTTGTGTCTGACATCCATGTCCGACACATGGATATGGCCATATAGATATGGGATAAGATCTTCCAAATACATGGAGAGTTTAAGACAAAAAATTGAACATAGTATATGTGCTGGCCATATAACCATATCCAATACTCGCACTCGAATTCCATTAACATAGCTGGAAATGACATAGATTGCAGCTACTTCCACCAAAAATCAAAATATCAAAATTCAGAAATAACCAAAACAGTACGAATAATTAATAGCCAACTTTTGTTTGTGAGGCAATAAAAGATATAAGCCAACTGATTTAAATTCTCTGAAGGGTAAAAGACTACAGAAACAGATCAGATATAAAAATACAACAATTTCAAACAAATAAAGAAACAATTCATATCTGCAATTGATTCACCAAAAATATTACTATATCGTAAGGACAATTTCTAAACCTTGCTAGAAAAAGTACTGGAAGAAACTTAGGGGAGAAATAAAACAAAAATAGTGTCTATAAACAAAAAGAAATATGGAAATCATGCGTAAACGAAAGTGAAAAGAAATCCCATTAGTTAGCAGAATCCCAACATGAATTAAGGTTTCTTTTTTGCATTTGTTGAACTAGGTGTCTTAAGACATCAATAGCAAGAGAGAGGAAATGCATGGTTTAACAAAAATACATCAAATATAGTCCAAATATTTACAATTCCTCCTAAAACTACAAAACTCAAGAACTTAGTTATAGTAAAAAAAATTCTACTTTTCATGGGTTCTAAAAATCAAATAACAAGGAGAAAATTTCTAAGTTTTTTTTAGTGTCAAGAGTTTGTGTTTTCGTCATTCAAAAGAATAGGCAATTAAAATCATAAAAATACCCAAAATTCCAAATCCAATGTAAATAATAAATAAAAAAATAGGAGAAAAAGAACTGAACCAACCTCTCTCTAGCTTCAATGTCCAAAACATTTTCCCCAAAAGAAGCTTCAACACTTCCAAAATCATTGCTCTCGTTATTATCATTGTTAATATTGATATAGTTATTAACATTATCATTCCCACCATCTTCTTCTTGCGTAATATCATGGCTTCCAACTTCAGCTTCCTTATTCTTTTCCGAATCTGGGTCGCCACCCACACGAACCCTCGAATTCGAACTAGGGTTAGGATTCTCTCCACAGTTATCCTTCTTACTCCACTGTTGCTGTGTCTGCTGCTTGTGCCTCTTCGAGTCATGGTGGTGCACCACAACCGGCGGCTTCTCTAGCCGTCGACTCCGGAGCTGGAGATACGAGCCGTCTCCTTTCGCCTGAGCCGAAGCAACCGTAGCCGGAGGAGAAGCGGAGGAATTCTGGAGGCGTTGGAGCGCGAGGGTTTTGGCTCGGGTACGAACGCCCAGGGGAGACTGCGAGACTTCCATTACGGCAACTTCACCTTCCGTTTTGGCCTTCCTAATGTACTTCCCCATCTGGGGTTTTGGGAGGAAAGATGAGACAAGAGGGAAACGAAAAACAAAGAGAGAGAGAGAGGTGGGTTTAACAGTTGTTTGTTATAAAGATAGAAAAGGGAAGCTAAAATTAACATATTTTAAAACATGTCTTTTTACAATTTATATTTTTTATATTTAATTACGTTTTTACTCATTAATTTGGACCTAAGTGGGGTGAATTCGTTCTTGGGCATTGTGTACACCGCCCATCACAATATGGGAGTTGGTCATGCCCGAAGTTATTATCTTAATCGTAAGGAGGCGATGCTGAAGGTAGAGTTAGTGATTGGAGTAAAGTCATAATAAGATAGTCGTATCGGAAGGTACGATTCGTTCGTTTATGTTTATTTGTTTATGTTCGTTTACTTTCGTTCGTTTATGTTTGTTCATTTATGTTTAGCCCAATCTCTCTAGACCCATTTAAAATATTAAGGTCCAATAAATTTTAATTTGATACCTGTTAATATTTTAAAATTCAATTACTATGAAGTTGCACCTTATATTAATGAATTTTATGTGATTATTGTTGTTGTGGTTTATGTTCATTTATGTTCGTTTGTTTTGTTCGTTTATGTTCATTTTTTGTGTTCGTTTATGATCGTTTACGTTCGTTCGTTTGTGTTCGTTTATTGTGTTCATTTATGTTCGTTTACATCCGTTCGTTTATATTCGTTCATTTGTGTTCGTTCATCATTTAAATGAATAAACATGAACGAACAATAACAAGCTACATTCCTTAATGAACGAACACGAACAAGAACTTTTTTGTTCGTTTATGTTCGTGTTCGTTCATTTGTTCAGCTAAAGTTAAACGAATGAACATGAACATACCCCCGTTAGTGTACGTTCGGTTCGTTTACAGGCCTACCCCAGGTCTCTCGACTATTAATAATTCCAAGTTAATTGCATCACATGTCCATAAAGTATGACCATTATTTTAAATTAGTCCTTAAACTTTTAAATATTTTAATTTCATCCTTAAACTATGATAATGATTCTAAATTGGTCCTCAAACTTTTGAACATTTCAATTTCATCCCCAAACCCTGACATTCATTCTAAATTAATCCCCAATCCTTTTGAACATTTCGATTTTGTCCTAAACTATATGTATATATTAATCACATTCACTGTTAATGAAAAAGTTAGGCCAAGTTTTATTGTTATATGTTTGAAAAAAAAACAAAATTTAGGTTAAATTATGGTTGAAATTAATTCCATATTAGAATGAATTTGAGGATAAAATTAGAATATCTAAAAGTTTGGGGACTAATTCTGAAAGAGGGTCATAGTTTAAGGATAAAATTAGAATTTTCAAAAGTTTAAGGACTAATTTAAAATGAGATTCATAGTTTGTGGATAAAATTAGAATATTTAAAAGTTTAGCGGCTAATTTAAAATGATGGTTATAGTTTAGGGATATATGATGCAATTTACTCATATTACTACAAAAATACCCTATTTTCCTAAGTAATTATTCAAACATCATATTTCTTTGATTTTTCTAAATGTCATTTTCCCTAATTTAATCCCTTTAAAAACTTCCCTAAATTAGGGTGGAAAATAGAAGTGTTTAGAGGAAAGCTAAAATATATTTGTTGAAATAACAAATAGGATTAAGCAACTCTTAATCTATATATTTTTTATTTTTATTTCTATTTTTTCCACGTTAATCATAAACTCAATTTCTTTTGCCACGTAACGTAACGCTTTAAAAAATGTACTATGTAGCATAATACTAATGTTTTACATTATTATTATTTTTATGTGAATTAAAATGAAAAAATATCTCACCAACAATCAGTTGATCTAGTAGAATGAGACACTAGGTCCCTTAAACAAGGTCAAGAGTTTGAATCTTGACGTTTGCGAATGAAGAAAATTAGGTTGAGAGGGTCGTCCTCGCCTCTACAATATCCGATTTTGATTAATAAATATGATATCAATGATTAATTCAAAAAAACAAAAAGATATCTCGAATTCATTATTATTGACAAAAAAATACTTTATCTCAAAATCAATCAAACAATGAAACAGAATATTCCTTCCATTGTTTGGATAATTCAATTCCCTTTATAAAAAATTATGGTAAGAAGTATGATTTTTAGAACCGGATCGGTCAATGAACTAGGCGTGCTATCGGTTCACTGGTTCAATCGGTCGGAAGAACCAGACGACGTCATAATTAATTAATTATTTAAAAACATTAAATAAAAATACCAAAAATATTTAATAAAAAATATTTTTTTTATATCACAAGTCATATTCAAAGCATGTTATAACATTTATAAGTTAAAAACTATAAAATCAAGTGAAACAAAATGATTCAAATCAACTACAATATAATATTTAAGGTAAAACATATTAAATAATAAATATAATTATATAACTATAATAAAAAAAAATTTGGGCTAAAAAATCATAACAAACGATGTCGTTTGGTTTATTTTTTTTTTAAATCTCACATAGCTAAGAAACATAGAAGAGCATCACAAAAGTCTAAAGAGTAAAAATATGAAAACAAAACAATCTCACATGACTAAGAAATATAAAAGAGCATCCCAACTAACTTTTATAAATAATAGAGGTAATTTAACATTCAAAATCATGGAGCCTTTTGGCGAGCACAGAGCGAACTATTCTTTCGCTTGAATTGAGCTCGAATTTCACACTTCAATCGAGCTTCTAATTTTTTTTGAGTTCGAGCCTTTTTGAGTTCAAGTTTCAATATTATATTTCAAGTTCAAGTTGAACTTGATGATTTTTAGCTCGTGAGTTTTTGAGTCGAGTTGAACTTACTTTTAAAGTTTTTGAGTTCAACTCGGCTCTTTTAACAAATTGATTTTCAACCGGTTCAAGGTCCGATCCGGTTCGAACGGTTCACAGCCGGTTCAACGGTTCCTTCCGGTTCACTAGTAACAGTTTAACCGATGTAGAATGAACCGGACCAGACAGCGGTTCTCGGTTAAACCGACAGGTCTGGTCCGATTTTAAAAATATTGGTAAGAAGACATACGAGACCATTGACTTTTGAAAAAAAATTAAGGTGACCTTTGAATTATTTTTTTATTCAATGTAATTTTTAAAAGAGAAAATAACCTCAGTGACCAAAAATCCCATATAATATACGATTTTAACCAACTTTTTCCGGATTTGCCAAAATGACCAACAAAATCGCAATGCGATCGCTAATTCGCAACGCGATCTCCATTATCGCAAATTCGCGTTGCATTTTCGCAATGCGATAGTTGAAAATCGCGTTGCGATGGTATACAGTATCGTTGCGATTTTCCCAATTCGCAATGCGAATAAGTAAATCGCAACGCGAATTGGGAAAATCGCAATGCGAATAAGTAAATCGCAACGCGAATTGGGAAAATCGCAATGCGATACTTACTATCGCAATGCGATAATACAAAATCGCAACGAGATACTTACTTTCGCAACGCGATACTGACTTTCGCAACGCGATTTACATAGCGCCATTCGTATTAACGCGTATTTTTTTTTTCAAATTCCAAACACGTATTTTTTCTTAATAAATCGGAAAATGAACCGTCCACAGTAATCGCAACTCATAACCTCAAACCCAAAAACACAACACTCAGTCCCATCTCCATCTCTCACTCTCTACGGCGAAATCCGTACCCATCTCCGAAGATTTCCGTCCCCATCGCCGGCGAAATCCCTCACAACCATTCACAGTCAAAAATCCCTCACAATCATTTAGAAATGGAAAATCAACCTACGAGGGTTAGTTTTTTTATTTTTATTTTGAAATTTTTGCATTATTTTAGGTTTTTCATATTGAGATTGATGATAAGTTTACTGGTAATTTCAATAATAGATTAACCATTTCACTTAGATTTCTTATTAAATTCATTCGATTGCTGCCAATACTGCTAAACTGTTTAGCCTGTGAAGTTAGTATTTGTCTTTGCTTTGTCTTTTGGTTGAAGTAATGCAGAAGAAGAATAGTTTCGAGAATGAAAATCGCAACGCGGAAATAACTATCGCAACGAGATAATCGCAACGCGAAATAAAAATCGCAACGCGAAACCAAAATCGCATTGCGATTTTCATTTCGCGTTGCGATTTTTATTTCGCGGTTGCGATTTTCATTTCGCGTTGCGATTGTCTGGTCGCGATAGTCATTTCGCGTTGCGATTCTCATTATCTCGTTGCGATTTTCATTTCAACCAAAAGACAAAAACAGTGTTGCAAATTTTAGTTTCAAGAATAAACTACTATTTATGTTTATTGTTTTGTTTTTGGTATATCTTGAAAGTGTAATTTTTGGTATATCTAACTTGGTATGTTTATTGTTTTTTTGTAGAAAATTTTTTCGGCTTCATTGACATTAAGGAATAAAGTTAGCCTAGCCACTACAATTGCTTCGAAGCTTTCACCTGCACAAAGAAAATTGTTTGAAGAAACCTGCTTCGGGCCATGGCTGAGAGTACAACATCCGGGTGGAGATGCTAGTTTGACCCATTTGTGGCTTCAGACCATGACTAGCGATCTACCCGACAGTATACAACGTGGTGAGGAAGAGATATGGTTTCATTTTCCACCGGCGTATACTTGTTTTGGGCGGAAGGAGTTCTGCTTAATCACTGGTCTACGATTCGGACACGATGATGTAGGTCGGTACACTCGTCATATCACCCGCCCATCATGGTTATCCAGGGTTTTTCCTGATGAGTCAATAGAGAAGCCGAACTTACACGTCGACGACATGAAGAAATTGTTTAATAAGAAAGATGGTTTTACTCGGATGAATGACGTCAATGTTGTCCGAGTATGCCTTCTACTACTTTTGTATGCCGGCTTTCTAGGCAGAGAGGCCAGACAACCTATTCCTCAGGAGCTAATATTATTGGTAGAGGACCTAAATGCATGGAATCTATTTCCGTGGGGTTCGTATATATGGAAAGCTTCCTGGACTAAGTTGTCGTCTGCCTTTGATGACCGCAAAAGTTTGCGGGGCGATGGGTCGAAATACACTTTGTCAGGCTTTGTTTGGGCCTTTA